TCTCTGAACGTCTCACGAGCTGTTGGACCGCAGCAATGCCTATCGACGTAATTAGAACGGTTGAGACGAGTTAGCGGAAGGGGCGTGCTGCGTTTACCCTCTCCATAGCAAGGTCTTCGCCTTTGTCAGTATTAGGACTCGCGAGGCTACCGCGATTGACACTGCTGGTTGCGGTGATGGATCTCGTTTCCATGCTTGGACGTGGACTTTTGCCGTCGGCACCAGAATGGTGTACTGGATGCATTTCACCACTGGAAGAGATTCGTGACTCCTTGCTTTTCTCCAGAAGGGAACCCCCAAGCGTGGCACACTTCAAAATGGTCTGCATCATCTGGTTCTGTTTCAAGGGCTTGGAGAGATATTCATCCATCTGTGCCTGAATACACTTCTCTCGGTCTCCCAACATGGCGTGCGCAGTGAGAGCAATAATCGGCGTCCGACTGAGACCAGATTCCCTTTCATATTCTCGAATCTTGCCGGTGGCTTCAAAGCCACCCATGACCGGCATCTGGACGTCCATGAGAATGACGTCGTAGCGACGTTGTTTGACAGCCTCGACAGCCTCCAGACCGTTGCTGACAACAGAGACATTATGGTTGTGCTTCTCTAGGATCTTCACAGCCAAGCGCTGGTTCACATCGTTATCCTCGGCGAGGAGGATGTCGAATGAGCGGGAGTGGTCGGTGGTGATGGGCGTCGAGCGGCCTTCCAGAGCCGGTAGCATGCCATTGCCGAGATCGATCGGCTGACAAGGCGTCGTCATGTAGGAACTAATGCCGAGGTCCAGAGCAGACTTCAAGCTAACGCACACCAGGGGGCAGACCAAAACGATCGGTACATATTTGAAATCGTCGAACGTCCGCAGCAAGCGAGCCGTAGCAACAGAGTCAACGATGATAACGTCGTACGCATGACCAGACTCCTTGCCGGAAGGATCTTGGATTTCGGGAGGCGGGACATGGTCTTCGTTCCGGACTACCAGGGGCTCGAGGTCAATTTGCTTGAGCATCTTCAAGACGTTCTCCGCCTGGGCACCGTTCTCTCCTTTGTCGATGAAAAGAACCCGGTGGTTCTTGTATGGCAGAAGCTGCGAGGCGATGACATTCAGGGACTGGTCCGCCAGCTTCACGACACAGGTGAAGTGGAAGGTACTGCCATGGCCATACTCAGAAGTGACCCAGACATCACCACCCATCAAGTTCACTAGTCGTTTCGAGATGGAGAGACCCAGACCCGTTCCACCAAACCTCCTTGTGGTCGACCCGTCGGCCTGCTGGAACGTATCGAAGATCAGGTCGAGTTTATCCTCCTCAATGCCGATACCGGTATCGGACACTGAGAATTCAAAGGCATACTCATTGGCTGCACATTGTTCACGGTCCGACTTGCGGATCGTTAGTTTGACCTCTCCGTGCTCGGTGAACTTGATGGCATTGCCAACCAGGTTCAGGATGATCTGTCGTAAACGGAACGGATCGCCGATAACATAGTCTGGTACTGTGTTATCGACTTGATAGGTCAAACTAAGGAACTTCTCGTTGGCCTTCACCGCCAGGGTCTTCAAAGCGTTGAAGACAGTTCCCCTCACAGTGAACGGAATGCTTTCGATGACCATCCGATTAGCTTCGATCTTCGAGATATCTAGTATGTCGTCGATAATCGTCAGCAAGCTGTTGGCCAGGTTGTGCACCACGTTCAACATCTCGCGCGTGTAAGGCTTGAGGTCATCCGTGTCTAGGGTCAACTGCGTCATGCCGATAATGCCATTCATGGGTGTGCGGATTTCGTGACTCATGTTCGCCAGGAACTCGGACTTGGTGCGGTTCGCCAACTCGGCTGCCTCTCTGGCGGCGGTGTTTCGCTGAATACTATCCCGGAGATTGGAAACCATCTTGTTGATCTTTCGCTTCAGCTCGTCCATCTCACCCGAGGCGTTGACGGTGATAAGCTTGGTGAAATCGCCGTCGGTGGCAGCATCCGTGATTTCGCCGAATGCGCGCACTTGGGACGTGAGGTTCTCGGCCATGGTATTCACGTCCTCTGTAATCTCCTTCCACGTTCCGGCAATTCCCTCCACGTTCGCCTGACCACCCATCTTGCCATCGACACCGACATCGCGTGCGACCTTCTTCAATTCCGTTGCGAATTTGGCGAGACGGGTCCACCATGTGGTTGATGGTGACCTTGAGAGTCAAGATCTCTCCTTGGGGCGTGAACTTTGGATCCTCTTGCTTAGATCACCCTTAGCGATGGCTTGCGTGACGTCACGAGATACATCGGACCTGGGATGTCAAATTCCTGCGCCATGAGGGT